AAAGCTTGTTATTATTGGCACTACCTACACTGGTACAGACAGTTCAAGATAAAATCATATAATAGATGTTTTGACACAACAGAGGCAACATGTCGTGAATGTCTATATTAACCCACTGAGCGCCTCCCTCTCTACCCTAAATGAGTAAACTCGTGTGTCATTTAAGACACAGTAAAATAATAAAGTATGGCGGAAAGTCTGATTAACCATTGAGCGCTAGCACTCTCCCTGGACGAGTAAAATTGTCTGGCATTAGACAAAGTAGCTAAATTAATAAACCAGGGTGCAATTTAGGGCACAATGCAACTTAATGCGTTAAAGACAAATAATAAGATTGTGTAAAACAACGAATATCAAGATGAACACCTACATTTGCAATCTGTTATCCAAATGAATCGAAATATTGTCTAAACGTAGTTTTTCTGTTTGAATTTCTTTGGGATTTCCCTCAATCATTATGGTTTATTGGCTTTCAAATTAAAAAAACCTAGCTGTTAGACTTTAAAAGATTTGCGATACATGATACAAAGTGAGATTGCTAATATATGAAAAATCAAACCAAGAATACATACTTCAGTAACTCAATAAGTTGTCCTTTGACGAGTAAAATTATCTCGCATTAGACAGATTGAATTAATAAATTTGGGGTATCTGTATTGGCACTAAAATGGTTAAGATTTCCGAAGCCAGCGTTCTAAATGGGCTCTTAATTGAACAAAAAGTTTCTGACATGAGGTATTTTGCCATCGATACCCAAACGTCTCTGGGTTTGTGCATGTAAAAGTGTAAAAATACATCCGGCTTGCAGCTATGATTAAACTTACCAGATGTTTCAGCCATGTGCTAATTAAACCCGGAATGAAACGAACAACTAAGACGAGACCAGTTGGTACAATAGTAAGCCTGTAAATTGTGATTTCAAAATAAGTAAGATAATACAGACGTAATTTAAAAATGAAAATTAAAGCCCAGCAAATGACTTTCAGACAAGACATAACAAAATATAAAATTTATTGGCTAACGTTTTGTTGTATTGTTCACAACATCTTCAGAGCAATTAAACTTATTTACAAGCCTGTATTATATATATACAAATAGTTTCAAAGGGTTACAGTATTCAAATAAGCGAATAAGAGGAAGGTGAAAAACAACCTGTCATTAAAAGCAATAGTATTAGTAAATTAAAGAAATAATGGTTAGTAATTAGAGACCTAGCAAAGCATTAGAAAAGGTCAAGAG